GACACCAGCTGGAGGGTCACTGATCCAAGACTCAGCTGGGGGGGGTCACTGAACCCAAACACCAGCTGGGGGTCACTGATCCCAAGACCCAGCTGGGGGGTCACTGGATCCCAAGACAAACCAGCTGGGGGGTCACTGAACCCAAGACACCAGCTGGGGGGTCACTGATCCCAAGACACCAGCTGGGGGGTCACTGATCCCAAGACACCAGCTGGGGGGTCACTGATCCTATTCCCCAAGAACACAGCTGGGGGGGTCACTGATCCCAAGACACCAGCTGGGGGGTCACTGAACCCAAGACACCAGCTGGGGGGTCACTGATCCCAAGACACCAGCTGGGGGGTCACTGATCCCAAGACACCAGCTGGGGGATCACTGAACTGCAAGCAAGACAATCAAGCTGGGTGGACACGAACCCAAGACACCAGCTGGGGGATCACTGGAACCCAAGACATCCAGCGAGGGTCACTGATCCTCAATACAAACCCAGCTGGGGATCACAGGATCCCAAGACACCTGCTGGGGGTACTGATCATCCAAGACACCAGCAGGGGGGTCACTGATCCCAAGACCAACCCGCTGGGGGGTCACTGATCCCAAGACACTATGGGGACACCCTTCCTAAAGTTTTGGTTAACGTGCCTAAAGAGAGACAATTTGAGATAATGAAAAAGTCACTAAAACATAAAAAACAAGTGTAAACATCGTGAACAAGTGTAAACATCGTGAACAAAGTTGTAAATATCTCAAACTAAATAAACTCAAGATAAACGAACGTAAGAATTTTAAAATTTAATAAAAACATGCAACAACAAGACCCATGTCTCTTTTCCCTTAATAAATAAGCCACAAGTAACTCTAACTTAGGAAATATTTCATAATGTTTTAGTGGCCTAAGTATATTATCGTTCAGCTACAGATTAATGCTTGTGAGAATGACATGTATATGTATAATAACATATATATATATATATATATATATATATATATATTATTGATAATATATATATATATTATATATATATATATATATATATATAAATATATATATATAATACGAGGAACGGGAACGTTGGAAAAGGTCTGATCCGAAAGGATCAGAGCTCTTCAGCAGTGTCAAGGCCGCCTAGGCACAAATAAACCAAACACAGACAGGAAGTCAATACTAGACAGACAGCGACGTGCAGCACTACCTGCTGGAGGATGGGGAGGATCGATCGTAAGTACGTCAATAGCCGGCGGCCAACCGTACGATGACCACAAAACCGCCCATGTGAGGGTCGTTGTAACCACTCTGCGCCATGAGCACGATAATTCACCCTAGCGACGCTAGCATATGATGATAGCTGCGATAACTGCCACGCGTGATAACCGCCTCTTATGCATGATAACTAGCAGCAGATGCTAGATTTATAGCAGTGCCATTAGACAATGTACCATGACCAATGAAGGCGGAGGTAAAAGATAGCACAACAGATTTCAAGATTATAGCAGCACAGCAGCTGATGAAAAGGTACGATCATCGCTATAGTCACAGTTGCCGAGGGAAGACAACTAGCTGCAGATAATTAAGGGAGTATAATTATACCAGTACTCGGTTTAGAGGCATGATAATTGCATCAGCAGCCGCCTGTCGAGGCGTAAGAACGCCAGGAGCCTGTACACAGATGCTGGAACTAGTTCAGAAGCAAACAGTGGAGTCAAGAGAAGCACCGAGTTCACGAGTACAGTAATTAGCATGAGACGTCTTAGTGTAACACAGTAATTAGCCACAGACGTCTTATTATAATACAGTAATTAGCAACAGACGTCTTAATGTGATACAGTAATTAGCAACAGACGTCTTAGTGTGATACAGTAATTAGCAACAGACGGCTCAGTATGATACAGTAATTAGCAACAGACGGCTCAATATGATACAGTAATTAGCAACAGACGTCTTAGTGTGATACAGTAATTAGCAACAGACGGCTCAATATGATACAGTAATTAGCAACAGACGTCTCAATAAGATACAGTAATTAGCAACAAAAGTCTTAATATGATACATTAATTAATAATGGACGTCTCAGTATGATACAGTAATTAGCATCAGACACGTTAGTAAGACATTTAGCAACAGTACTTACGGGAATGATAATCAGCAGAACTTAGGAACGTGATAACCAGCAGAACTTATGAATATAATAACCAACAGAATTTATGAACTTGATAACCAATAGAACTTAGGAACATGATAACCAACAGAATTTAGGAACATGATAACCAACAGAACTTAGGAACATGATAACCAGCAGAACTTAGGAACATGATAACCAGCAAAACTTAAGAACATGATAACCAGCAGAACTTAGGAATATGATAACCAGCAGAGCTTAGGAACATGATAACCAGCAGAACTTAGGAACATGATAACCAGCAGAACTTATGAATATGATAACCAACAGAATTTATGAACTTGATAACCAATAGAACTTAGGAACATGATAACCAACAGAATTAGAAACATGATAACCAGCAGAACTTATGATATGAAACCAACAGAATTTATGTAACCTTGATAACCAATAGAACTTAGGAACATGATAACCAACAGAACTTAGGAACATGATAACCAACAGAACTTAGGAACATGATATCCAGTAGAACTTATGAATATGATAACCAACTGAACTTATGAACATGATAATCAGCAGAACCACTGCAGAAGAAGATTCCTGATAACAATACACTGCCAGAATTATCGCCAATCAGTCATGGAATGGCAGTCGAAGGAGACTCATTAGTAACAAACGTCTACAAAGTAATTAATGAAGGTAATTAGTGCATTTACACGGTTTGCCATTATGAAGGACGTAAAATAAGTGATGCTACATAGTGATGTCCCCCCCTCAAATCATTGATGCCACATATGTGATGTCATATATGTGATGTTACATGTGATGCCCCATATGTGATGTCACATATGTGATGTCACATATGTGATGCCCCATATGTGATGTCACATATGTGATGTCACATGTGATGCCACATATGTGATGTCATCTATGTGATGTTACTGTGATGCCACATATTGAGATTTCATATATGAGATGTTACATGTATGCCCCATATGTGATGTCACAAGATGTGTGACACATATGTGATGCCCCATATTTATGTCACATATGTGATGTCACATGTGATGCCACATATGTGATGTCATATATGTGATGTTACATGTGATGCCACATATGTGATGTCATATATGTGATGTTACATGTGATGCCCCATATGTGATGTCACATATGTGATGTCACATATGTGATGCCCCATATGTGATGTCACATATGTGATGTCACATGTGATGCCACATATGTGATGTCACATGTGATGTCACATATGTGATGTCACATAGGATTCCACATGTGGATGTTTTTCACATATGTGATGTCCACATATGTGATGTCACAATGTGATGTCACCGCATATTGATGTCACATGTGATGCCACATATGTGATGTCCCATGTGAATTCCACATATGTGTGCACCATATTGATGTCACATATGTGATGTCACATGTGATGCCACATAAGTTATGTCACATAAGTGATGTCACTGTGATGCCACAATATGTTATGTCCTATATGTTATGTCACATGTGAATGCCACAAATGTTGATGTCACATGTGATGTCAGCATATGTTATGTCATATATGTGAATGTCACAAAATGTGATGCCACATATGTTAAGTCATATATGTGAATGTCACATGTTAAGCCACCTATGTGATGTCACATGTGAATGTCACATAAATGTGGGATGTCACATAATGTGATGGCACATGGATGTTCACATATGGATGTCACTCAATGCCTGGTGGAAAAAAATTTCAGTTTCCCTCTTAAAAAAATAGTTACACTTTGTAAATCGAATCAATTTTTTTGATAAGAGCAGGCAAAAATTTTGATTACTCTTCTTACTGTATCATCGACCTCAGCTTGTGCCGATCGATAATACAAATGTCTAGTTATCCTGGGTGTACAGGAATAACGAGGACAGGTGTGGCCATGTATACACGACACGTGTATGATACATACACCGTGGGGTGTGTATGTCTCTCAGTGTATATATACACCGAGAATTTAGTCCCCTCCCCACGGTTAGGTATAACATGTTTCTGCTGTCGGTACAGCGACGTGCAGCCTTAATAACCCCCGTGTAGCCGATAAGCTTTAAACTCCATTAGGTAACCAATCAGCAACATGCTGAACGATCACTAGACGAGACCTGGCCTATGGCCGGGCTCAGGGAGTAGAAGAACTCTCGGAAGTCATCAAAGGTATATCAAAGGGAAGTTTCAATCGGGACAGTGTTACGTTGAGGGGAAGAGCTTCAGCCAGTCACTGACCTCAGCAATACATTGTTCCACTGGAAACCGGTTCTCTATCACGTCATTTTGATCTTGCAAAGTATTGTATTGTATCGTGTTTGCGATACATTATATTTCACAAGCAACCTTCAACACATTACTTTTATAAATACATTAATAAAGTGAATGGATCTTCTATTGTAGCTACAATTATGGTAATACACACACACACACACACACACACACACTCACACACACACACACACGAATAAAGTGATTGATTAGGAAGTATTTCTTTAGTCATAGAGTTGTCAGGAAGTGGAATAGTCTGGCAAGTGACGTAGTGGAGACAGGAACCATACATAGTTTTAAGACGAGGTATGATAAAGCTCATTGAGCAGGGAGAGAGAGGACCTCGTAATGATCAGTGAAGAGGCGGGGCCAGGACATGGAATAGACCCCTGCCGCAAACCACAAAATAGTAAGTACACACACACTCTAAACTCATGGATCAAGGGAGAGAGTGGACCTAATCGTCGCCCAAGAAGAGGTGGGGCCAGAAACTGTGACTTGAAACCGCTGGCAACCACAATTAAGTAAGCACACACACACACACACACACACACAACACATCACACACACACTACACGACATGAGCGTCCCTGTGGGTGCAGATAATGAAGTCAGGTTTGGAGTTCTTGTAAACTAGCCTTGAAGAGCTGCAACCACTTGCCTAGGTGCCGTCTCTCGGCTGAAGACGTAGGCTATCATTCCCCACGCTCCGGTCTTCAAAACACTGTGGGGGGGGGGGGGGTGGTGGGAGACGTCATATACCAGTCACTAGGGTCAAGGAGCCATTCCCCTAGACGGTGGCACGCCTTCGCCAGAGGTTCAACATTAATGGCGCAAGAGGTTATTGGGGTTCAATTGACGTTATTGGGGTTCAGTAGAGGTGATTGGGGTTCAGTAGTGATTATTGGAGTTCAAGAGAGGTCACAGACCTCACGGCAGTTCACTAGAGCCCAGAGGGAGTTCACCAGAAACCCCGGGGATTTCACAAGAGACCCCAGGGGTTCACTAAACCCCCCGGGGGAAGGTTCACTAGAGGTAGCCCATCATCACAGACCCTGAGGTATCAAGGTCACATCAGGTCAGTGGAAATCCCGAAAAAAGGCAAACGAAGGTCAATTAGTGGCTATAATGACCAATTAAGGCAAATTTAGTTGAACAATGACCCATTTCAAACTGTACGAGGATAATTACAGGTAATTATGAGTTACAGTGGGTGACGAGGTGTAATGAAAGTAAACACCTCAGTCAACACTGGTCATTAAGGACCACAAATTACAAGTGGCAATTTGTAATTAAGAGTTATATAAGGGTCTGTTATATTATTATTATTATTATTAGTAGTAGTAGTAGTAGTAGTAGTATAATTATTTATTAAAATTGTTATTATTGCTATTATTTATTATTATTATTATTATTATTATTATTATATTATTATTATTATTATTATTATTATTATTATTATTATATTATATTATTATCATTATTATTAATTATTATTATTATTATTATTATTATTATTATTATTAATATTATTATTATTATTATTATTTATTAAAAATTTATTATTATATTATTATTGTTTATTATTATACTATTATTATTAGTAGTAAGGTTATTATTGTTATTATTATTATTATTATTATTATTTATAATTATTATTTTTTTATTATTATTATTTATAATTATTGATTATTATATTATTAATTATTTTTATTTTATATTATTATTATTTTTTATTATTATTATATTATTATTATTATTATTATTATTATTATTATTATTATTTTTATTATTTTAAGAAACTCTTCATCAAGCACTAAATCCGTCGGGGTTCATACAGTGCCTGGAGAATGGAAGGTTATCAGGTCTGATGCGAGGAAAGGAGAGGGATAGCTCCAGTTCCTCGAATCAATATTACAGGTCAAAGGATGCCATTAGAAATGACTTAACTACAGAATGTCAAGCTCCTGATTATGCGTTGATTGCAACATGAAAGGCCTAGAGCTATCATTCAACTCCCCCCCCCGTGGGGGGTGGGAGTTAAGTAGATAATGAGACACTTGAAGTTTGAGGATTTGAATCCCTCAGCCTAAGATGGTGAGGAAGTGAAGACATCATCCCCAGGCTGGGGGACCGATTACCCGAAGCTCCATCTTCACACCTTCTCTCAATATTGGACCGAGGAAGCCACTGGCGGGTGAAACGTCTCCACAATAAGGAGACCTAAGTATCACGCAAATGCCTCATCAATCACAGTGATGCTTAAATCCTATTAACCACATCAATAAAACAACAATAATCTGTAAATAACAACTAAAAAATTAACTTGTATAAATTAAGTCAATTAAAAAATTATTATATTCAATAATAATTTATTAATGTAAATCTTAATATTAGTCTCCTCTCGTTAGTAACAAATGAGTTGACTAACGCTCCTGGTGCGCTGAGGCGACGTAGGCGAGGTCGTCGTAGTGAACCAGGTCATAACCGCCCTTGTTGGCCAGCTCCAGGTCGCTGTATCCCAGCAGCATCTTGCCCCTGTGAACCAAGATGGTGCACTGGTTATAAGTCGCCGGGAGAGAGTCTTATGTAGGGGGATAAAATCTTGTGAAGGGAGAGGAAAGTCTTATCAAAGGGGGAAGAAATTCTCCTGTAGGGGAAGAAATTTTTCAGAAAGGGGGAAGGAACTCTTCTGAAGGGGGAGGAACTCTTCTGAAGGGGGAAGGAACTCTTCTGAAGGGGGAAGGAACTCTTCTGAAGGGGGAAGGAACTCTTCTGAAGGGGGAAGGAACTCTTCTGAAGGGGGGAGAAATTTTTCAGAAAGGGGGAAGGAACTCTTCTGAAGGGGGAAGAAATTCTTCTGAAGCGGGAAGGAACTCTTCTGAAGGGGGGAGAAATTCTTCTGAAGGGGGAAGGAACTCTTCTGAAGGGAGAAAAAATTCTTCTGAAGGGGGAAGAAATCTTCTGAAGGAGGAAGGAACTCTTCTGAAGGGAGAAAAAATTCTTCTGAAGGGGGGAGAAATTCTTCTGAAGGAGGAAGGAACTCTTCTGAAGGGAGAAAAAATTCTTCTGAAGGGGGAAGAAATTCTTCTGAAGGGGGAAGAAATTCTTCTGAAGGGGGGAAGAAATTCTTCTGAAGGGGAAGAAATTCTTCTGAAGGGGGAAGGAACTCTTCTGAAGGGAGAAAAAAATCTTCTGAAGGGGGAAGAAATTCTTCTAAAGGGGGAAGAAACTCTTCTGAAGGGGGAAGAAACTCTACTTTCGTGGGGTAAAGAAACAACCCACTGGAATAGGGAAGAATATTGTGAGAAAAGAAAAAAAAAACTCATTTAATAGGTGAGGGAAAATACTGTAAATAAGGAAAAATCTCGTAAAGTAAATAGATGCAAGGATACACACACACACACACACCACACACACACACACACACACATACATATATAATATATACATATATATATATTCATATATATATAATATATATATATATATATATATATATATAATATATATATATATATAATATATATATATATATATATATATATATATATATATATATATATATATATATATATACATACCATTGAGTGGCCTTTTAACTGCTACGTGTAACTAGAATATTACACCTGTGACTAAGCTGCTTCTTAATTGGCTCAGGTGAAAAGGGTCTTCGTCTCGCCATTTAAGGAAGGTAATTTTTAGCACCTCTAAATGAGAGTGTTGGTCGAGCAGACCAAAAACACTAATGGGACTTGTGATGGAGTTCAAAGATTCACGTTTACCTTTTCCAGATTAAAAAAAATGTTGGATGTTGTTGATAGTTTATGAGAGGGAAGGTGAGGAGGTGGAGAGAAAGTTGGAGGTGGGGAGGTGAGGTGAGGAGGTGGAGAGAAAGTAGGTGGGGAGGTGAGGTGAGGGGGTGGGGATGTGAGGTGAGGAGGTGGAGAGAAAGTTGGAGGTGGGGAGGTGAGGTGAAGAGGTGGAGAGAGCTGGAGTGGGGATGTGAGGTGAGGAGGTGGAGAGAGCTGGAGGTGGGAAAGTGAGGAGAGGAAGTGGAGAGAGCTGGAGGTGGGGAAGTGAGGGGGAGGAGGTAGAGAGAAAGTAGGAGGTGGGAAAGTGAGGTGAGGAGGGTGGAGAGAGCTGGATGTGGGGAAGTGAGGAGAGGAAGTGGAGAGAAAGCAGGAGGTGGGGAGGTGAGGTGAGGAGGTGGAGCGAAAACAGGAGGTGGGGAGGTGAGGTGAGGAGGTGGCGCGAAAGCAGGAGGTGGGGATGTGAGGAGAGGAGGTGGAGAAAGCAGGAGGTGGGAAAGTGAGGTGAGGAGATTGCCAAGTAAGAGAAGGGAGACGAGTTAGAGAAAGGTTGACAGGTTGGAGGGGTCAAGATCATAAAACGAGACCAGGGAGGAAAATGAGTAAGAGGGAGAGAGGAACAGAGCTGATGATATGAAGGAACTAAGAAGACGATAGGGGGGAGAAGAGGGACAATGAGAAAGTCTAGACAAGAAAGTAAACAGTGAATGAGCAGAAACAGCGAAGCTGGAAGAATTAGGAAGAGATTAATAAAGAGAGGAAAGAAAGTAATCAGTCTAGCTTACTTCATTATATTTTGAAAAGTAACTGGTCAGACAGATACACAGATGCCTGTGTGTCACAGCACATCCCTCCCTCTAAACGCACAAGCACTTACCTAGCCTAGAGAGACAACACAGTAAGTGTCAGGGGCCCAAGATTGTTCAACTGCCTCCCAGCATACATAAGGTGGATTACCAATAGACCCCTGACTGTCTTTATGAAGGCGCTGGACAGGCACCTAAAGTCAGTACCTGATCAACCGGATTGTGGTTCGTACGTTTGTTTACGTACTGCCAGCCTGGTTAATCAGACCCTGATTCACCATGAGGCTTGGTCTCAGACCAGGCCGTGGGGGCATAGACCCCTGAAACCCCCTCCAGGTAAACTCTTCAGGTAACCTAACCTAACCTACCCCTTCCCCCTACTATCCCTCCAAACACACAAACACCTTACTACCCCCCGTCACCTTGCTAACAAACGCCACACAAACGAACCAGTCACCCTGTTAGCGTATCCCCGCCCCCATCTAACCCATCAAACACCCACTCAAATACCTCCTTTGTTAGCCCTCGCTACGCAAACTCTTTTGTTAGTTTTAGTTCACCACTCAAACTGGTCACTGTTATAATCTACCCAAATACACATTACAGCCAGCCTGAAGGAGTCAATTATCAGAATAAAAGCGTGGGGCTGGAGGCCATAATTACCGAGGAAGAAAGCAACGAAAAAGAAAAAAACATACATTCCTGCCTTCAACTTTCAACTCAGCGCCCTTATACCAAAACCTGTAATTTCTATATTAGCCAAAAAAAAAAGGGGCTAAAAAAATTAAGCATGTTTATAGTGTTTGGATGGGGGGGGGGGGGGGGTTTGCCAATATTGCGGTGTTTCTTTTGTATGGAATAGGAAGCGGGGGTCGTTTTAGGCGTGTAGGGGAAAAAAAAGGGAAATGTGTAATGAGATGAAAAAAAGGGAAATTTAGTGTGTTGTGTGTGTTTTGGGGTTTTGTGGTGTTGTGGTGGTGTGTGTGTGTGTATGTGTTGTGTGTGTGTGTGGTGTGTGTGGTGTTTTGTGTGTATGTGTGGTGTGGGTGTGTTTGTGTGTGGTGTTGTTGTGTGTACTCCCCTGTTTAAGCTGTTGAGGTTGGGGGGGGTCGAGCCCGAGCTCCTCCCCCCGCCTCTTCATGTCCTACTGGGTCATCCCCTTAAACCCTGAGCTTTATCATCCTCTGCAAAAAGCTATGTATGGACCCTGCCCCCCACTACATCGCTTCCCAAACATTCCCTTACTGTACTCTGTGGCTGAAAAAATACTTCCTAACATCCCCTTGATTTTCTGTGTCTCAGTTTCCCAAACTGTGTCCCCTTTTTATGTGTAATTTGGAAATCCTGTTTTTGTCCCCCTTGTCAATTCCTCTCAGTTTTTTGTATGTCGTTTTCATGTCCCCCTACTCTCCCGCCTCCCGTGTCGTCAGGTTATTTCCTTTAAACCCCTCCCGTAGGACATACCCCTTAGCTCTGGGACTAGTCTTGTTTCAAACCCTTTGCCTTTCTCTAGTTTCTTTACGGCTTTTGGTGGTGTGGGTTCCAAACTGGTGCCGCTACTCCAAAATGGGCCTAACTGCACGTGGGAAGGGCCCTGAAGATTCCCTTTTTAAAATTCGGAATGCCCTGAGGGTTTTCTAGGCCCCCATGCTGCAGCAGTTTTTTTGGTTATGTGTCTTTAGGAGATGTGCTGGTGTTATACCCCCCCCAAGTCTTTTTCCTTAAAATGAGGTTTGTATTCTCTGGCCCCTTGACTGTACTCGTTGCGGTCTTCTTTGCTCTTCCCCCAAACTTCAGACTTTGCACTTTATGGGGGTTTAACTCGGGCCAAATTTCTGGGCCAGGGCTGCGCCTGTCCAATCCCTTTGTGTTCTGTTGGTCTTCGATGAGTGAATTCTTCTCTCAACTTCACGTCTCTGCAAAAAAGGGGAAACCCCAGAGTTATTTTCCCTTCCCTCTGTCGTTCACAAATACCGAAAAACGCTTGGTTAGGACTGACCCTGTGGGACCCCGCTGGTCACGGTGCCCCTCTGACACCTCGCCCCGTACCAGACTCCTGCTGTCTTCCGAAAGTATTCCCGATCCATTGTTGCCTTTCCCGTTATCCGTTTGGGCCCCGTTTTTGCACCAATCCCTTTTTGTGGAACTGTGTCAAAAACCTTTCTTGCAGCCAAAATATGCAATCCACCCACCCCCCTCTTCTTGTCTTAGCTGTGTGTGGGGTGGGGTGTGTTGTGTTGTGTGTGTGTACCACTTAGTTGTGGTTGCGGGGGCGATTGCAGCTCACTTCGTGGGTGTGCTCCTTTGTTGTGGGTTTGGGGGGAGTCCCCCAGTCACGGTTGGGGGTTGTGTGGTGTGTGTGTGTTGTGTGTGTGTTGTGTGGTTGTTGTGTGTGTGGTGTGGTTGTTGTGTGTGTTGTGGGTGTTTTTTTGGTTGATTGGATAAATTTAACAAAAGTTTATCGACTACCGAGGGTCAAGAATGTCAAATACCCCCGACAAGGGTAAAGTAACTCTCAGTGTATCACATTAAAAGGAGAAACATTTTTGGGTGTGTGTATAACTTGTGTATTGTGGGTCTCTACCCTTTGATGCTGTTTTTTGTTTTTATTGTATTCCTGTATTTCCCGTGTTCGTACCTGATGTTGTGAATTGGGAGCGAGGGGAAAGGCTTAGTGTACTGGGAGTTACAGTACAGGGAGGGACTGGCAGAACTGTACTTGCTCTCCTCTCTCTCTTCTCTCTTCCTCTCTCTCTCTCTCTTCTCTCAATCGTAAAGGCTTCATTCTCCATTAGTCAGCCTCGATCACTCTTTTTAGGTCTTCAGAATAAAAGATAAAGAAGGTAAGACACGACCGGTGACGTGATCTGTCACTTCTCTGTCTCTGAGTGAGAGACTGAGGGCGTGGATGTGAGTGCTC